ATGGCACAGCAGGCCAAAAACATCATCCTCTTCATGGGTGACGGTGAGTGCCCCAGGTCCCTGCCAGGCCCTGCAGCTCCCCAACAGCCAGGGCACATGGCTGGCGAGAAGATGGGGCTGGTGCAGGTCCCCTCCTCCACAGCCTCCTGGGGTGGGCAAGACTGTCCCCAGTCCCAGCCCTGTGCCACCCCACAACTCTGACATGCCCACAGGCATGGGACTGTCTACCATGTCAGCGGCTCGGATCTACAAGGGGCAGTTGGCTGGTGGCTCGGGTGAGGAGAGCATCTTGGCCATGGAGACCTTTCCCCACATGGCCCTGGCCAAGGTGAGTGGGGCAGCACTGGGTGGGGTAGCCTTTCTGCCCCTGCCAAAAACCCCACTGAACCCATCTCACTTCCAGACCTACACCATCGACCGGCAGGTGCCTGACAGCGCTGGCACGGGCACAGCCTACCTCTGTGGGGTAAAAGCCAATGCTAAGACTCTGGGGCTGAGTGGGGCAGCTGTCTATGGAAAATGCCGCACCACCTTTGGCAACGAGGTGGACTCCATCCTGCACCGGGCTAGGCTGGCAGGTATGGGGCAGTGGGCAACCCTGTTGGAGAGCCTTGCATGGCCACCCTCTGCTGTGCAGGGTTGGATGAACCCTGTGAACCCTTGACCATGCTGCAGGCAAGTCAGTGGGCATCGTGACGACCACGCGGGTGCAGCACGCGTCCCCCGCGGCAGCCTATGCCCACTCAGCCAGCCGCAGCTGGTACGCCGATGCCAACATGCCCAAGGAGGCTTTGCGGGACGGCTGCAAGGACATCGCCTACCAGCTGGTGCACAACACAGACATCAATGTAAGCTGGGGAGCGGCCGTGGGAGGGAGGGGGCACAGGGAATGCTGGGAGGGTATGCTGAGCTCCACAGCAGGTGATCCTGGGAGGTGGGAGAATCTACATGACCCCCAGGAGGACTCCGGACCCCGAGTACCCGGAGGACCCAGATCAGAATGGCACCAGGAAGGATGGCCGGGACTTGATTGCTGAGTGGCTGAGTGCCAAGCAGGTAGTACACCAGGGCAAAGGGAATGTGACTCTGGGCACAGGGCATGTGCCATTGGCACTGGCTCTGCTCTTGCTGGCAGGGTGCCCGCTATGTCTGGGACAAGAAGGGCCTGGACGCGGTGGAAGATGACTCCGTGAGCCACCTTATGGGTATGAGCATCACTGCCTGCACCACTGGCAGTGCTTCCTCCTCCCCCTCTCTATGGAGGTGCTGGCAGGAGCATGAAGCAGCCCCATCCTGGATGCCCCTCGCCCTGCTCCTCCAGGCCTCTTTGAGCCCAAGGACATGAGGTATGAGCTGCACCGTAATGCGTCCACGGACCCCTCCATTGTGGAGATGACGGAAAAGGCCATCCGCATCCTGCGCAGGAACCCCAACGGCTTCTTCCTCTTTGTGGAAGATGAGTAGCTCCAGGCGGGCAGTGTGGCTGGGACTGGGGTGGGATGTGACTCCTGAGATCAGGTGGGCATCCAAGGGAACCAAGGAGAGGGTGACAGCTGTGTTCCCCGTGCAGGTGGCAGAATCGACCATGGCCACCACAGCGGCCGGGCCAAGCAGGCGCTGATGGAAGCTGTCATGATGGACCAGGCAGTGGCACGGGCGGGCGAGCTCACTTCTCTCTCTGACACCTTGACTGTGGTGACAGCTGATCACTCCCATGTCTTCACCTTTGGGGGCAACACACCACGTGGCAACTCCATTTTTGGTGGGCTTTGGGGAGGGGCAGTGAGCATCCCTCTTCCCACCTCACCCTTTTGCTCCCACTGGAGGCTGAGCTGGCCAAGGCAGAGAGCTGGGGGGAGGTACTCAGCCGAGACAGGATGTGTCAATGTCTTTCCCTGTGCCAGGGTTGGCTCCCAAGAAAGCCAAGGACAAGCGAGCCTACACCAGCATCCTCTATGGCAATGGTCCTGGCTACAGCATCCGTGATGGGGGCCGCCCAGCTGCCAGCCTCCCCACTGCAGGTCTGCTGGGGATGGGGTGGGGGCACAGGGTGCCTGGGGACAGCATCCCACTGCCACTGGAGCCATACAGGCTCCTGGTGCAACTGCGTGGCTCAGGAGTCACTTGGGCAGGAGTCACCCTGATGCCAGGATGATGGGAGCTGCCCCTGACATTGTGACATGCTGGGGAGCCTGCTACCCACAGCCCATTTCTTCTCTCCCCCCTGCAGAGGACAAGGACTACAGGCAGCAGGCAGCTGTGCCCCTGGAAGCAGAGACTCACAGTGGGGAGGATGTGGTGGTACTGGCCCAGGGCCCCATGGCCCACCTCTTCCACGGGGTGCAGGAACAGCACTACATCGCCCATGCCATGGCCTACGCCGCCTGCCTCGAGCCCTATGACACAGAGCCCAGGTGCAGAGCAGCCCGCAGGGCCTCCCATGGCACCCAGTGTTCCCCACAGCCCCTGCTTGTCCTCCTGGCCGTCTGTGTGGCTGCCCTCATGGTGAGGGGCTGAGAAACTCCAGCTGAGTCCCATCAAGTGTCTTGGCAGCTGGGTCCCCACTGTGGCCAGGACCAAGGGATGCAATAAAGCACAGGTTGTTCACCTCCATCCACCATGCAAAGGTTTGCAGTAGTGGTCACCTCCTGAGATGCTGCCCTGTGCTTCAGTTTTCTCAGCTGGTTGTGGATCCTAGTTCCCCCCTGGAGGCACTGGGGTGAAGGAGGTGGTGAAATGAAGGTGAGGGGAGGAGGCCACTTCCTCCCCAACTTTGCCAG